GGGGGGGAGCGGGAGGGCGCCGGGACGCCAGCGGCGCCCCGCTCCTCCGGGGGTGTGACGGGGATAACGGGTGGTGATTGGCCGCCGGTGGGGGGAGCTGGCCTATCCCCGGGCGTGCAGAGAGGGCGTGGTGCGGCCACGTGTCTTCCGGGCGTGGCGAGAAACCACCGGCGGCGCCTCCGCCGTGGGCCCGCGCACGGGGCAGCACCGCGTCAAAAATAAAGTCCGCTGCGTGCGCGTGGGGCCTGTTTGATCAGGAATAATGATCGAAATATGAGCATCGAAGAAGCAAATCGTAGAATCACAGACTGGTTTGGGCTGGAAAAGACATTAAAGCCCATCCAGTGCCACCCCCTGCCCCAGGCAGGGACACCTTCCACTAGCGCAGGTTGCCCAAAGCCCCGTCCAACCTGGCCTTGAACCCTTCCAGGGAGGGGGCAGCCACAGCTTCTCTGGGCAGCCTGTGCCAGGGCCTCACCACCCTCACAGGGAAGAATTTCTTCCTTAGATCTCATCTAAATCTTCCCTCTGTCAGTTTAAACCCATTCTCCCTCATCCCTACCTCCTGATGACGAGTCCCTCCCCCCCTTTCCTGTAGCCCCTTTCAGCCCTGGGAAGCTGCTCTAAGGTCTCCCCGGAGCCTTCTCTTCTCCAGCTGAACCCCCCAACTCTCTCAGCCTGTCCTCATAGGGAAGGTGCTCCAGCCCCCCTGAGCATCTTTGTGGGCTCCTCTGGCCCTGCTCAAGCAGGTCCATATTGACTGAATCTTGTCAAATCCTCTCAGAAGTGTTGCAGTTCTCCCAGCTTGTTTTCTTGCCCTATGGGGGACCTTAAACTTTAGGATAATAGTTCTTAGCTTTATTGTTTCCTCCTGTGTTCTACAGCAGCCCAGTGCCAGCTATCACAGTGCTTACTCCCTGCTGCCCCAGGGTGTAGAGGGAAAGGTAGCAGCTTCAAAGAGTTGGTCCAGACAGCCTTCTGTCAATGAAACTCTTCCTTGGTGGTTCTCAGGTCTGGAGCTGTAGCCTTATTTTCTAGATAATTATGACAGTGCAAGCATACAGATGTATGAAATAAACTTTCTCTTTTCATTATCTTTTTTTTTTTTTTTTTACTGTAGAATTATTCTTTACCAGGTTTGTGTTCATGGTTTGTAGCTTTATGAGCTCATATTAATTTGATGTTTCTTTGTGCTTCTACATTCAGCATGTGTAAAAGGAAGAAAATATTATTGTAGTTCATATCTGTCTGGTGGAAAAGCTGAAAAAAAAATCAAAAATCAATCTTCAGTAATGCTAGTGAAGCTGTGAATTAACGGCACTAACTTATAAACTGGCTTAGAGTGTCAGGGATATCTGTCTGAGTCTATTCCTTAGTCTCTAATTGATTAAGATATTTCTTTTTATTGCGGTTTTAAGCGTTGTTGGTTTTTTTTTTTTTCTTTTAAGCTTTATGCTCATTTTTCCTGCTGTCAACTCTAACAATGGAATGTTTAAAAACTTAAAAAAATCAACAGAGGGGAAAATTGTTTTGTGGTACTGGAACCCAAGGTCTGGGTAGCCATGGAAACTAGCATATCTTTTTAATTATAAAAAAGAGGCTGCTTTAGCTGTGAGGTTGAGAGAAGGGCAGAGGAGCCTGCGTATATTTTGGTTTGTTGCTTCTGCCCCTTCTACAGGCTCTGGTTGTAGAGTTTCAGTCTCTAAGACTGTCCTTTCACCAATATTAATTTGCGGGAATAAAGGACCAAAAGGGAAAATGGGATTATTAAGATCTATCATAATATCTAGACAAACTTCTTAAATATTCAGATTAAAAACAATTCATATGTTGGTCATATTTTCTTAGTGTGTTTAAGACTTTTGCAGAATACATGTATGTAAATATTTGTATTTTAAAATTTGGAAAAAGGTTTTGGGATTTTTAACACTTGGATCAATGAGCATACCTGATTTTATAAAACTTTTCCTCTGTAGAAAATAGTAAGATAGCTAATGTAGTTCCAGTTTGATACACTAACACATTTTAATTAGTATGCATGCTTATTACAGGCATTTGCATATAATTAAATGAAACCACAAGCAGCTCCTGAATAGGTATAATACATTATAATCTCAGTTCATCAGCTTTCAAAGTTTCCTGACCAAAAACATCCCCTGAAGCCCTAGTGCAGGCAGCAGTTAGGTAGCATTCTCTCATGTTGGGGTAAAGTTAAATGCTGAGAGGCACTTAAGTACATCAGTATCTTGTCTTTAAAAGACTTTTCTGGGCGTCTTTCACCCAGTAACCTGAAACATGGATTTCTTTATGGTCTTGTGCTCATTGGGAGCCTGAAGTCTCCTGGCAGGGAAATGTTGGCAGCATCCTGAGGAGGAAGACGACAGTATGTAGATGAGATATAACGTATGTGTTTTTCCGTCTCTCTTCCCAGCTTAGACAGACCATGACAAAGTTCTGTCAAGAGCATTTGGCTCCGAAGGCCCAACAGATTGACCAGGAAAATGAATTCAAAGACATGCGGGCAAGTATTTCATGTGTGCATTTAAAATAGATGGTGGTGAAAGCCTGTCTGTACTTTGATCCTGTACGTTAGTCCAGACAAAGAATCCCAGTCCACACCGCAGGAACATATGCATTAACTTTTCAAACTTGCATTAACTTTTCAGACTGGAAAGCCATAGAGAAAACGTTTGGGTTTTTTTTTTTAATTTCCTTTTTAAGCTTTTGTTAACAACTTTCAGCAACCTGGGGCAGAACGCAGCCAGCATGCAATTAAAAAAATAATAAAAAACCACGGATTGATAATGGTCTTGTTTGGATTCTTATCATCGTATTTCTGCTTGGCTCCTTCAGACGCCTCCTCTAATACGTGCTTTGTACTCTCCTGTCTAGGGCCCATTCTTGGACATCTGAGTTTCCTTAAATTTGTTGTGAAAATATTGTGTGCAAATGCTGAAATGTAGAGTTGTTTGACTGTCTAGCTGAAACTTGCCTTCCTAATAAAAACAACAAATTCTTTGCAGCGGGAGGGTTTGATTGATGAAAAGGAGAGATCTAACTATTGGTTTTCATAAGCTCCACAAGACTTAAAAAGCTCAGAACATCTGCTAGGATTTCCCAGAGCTCTGATGTTGACATTTTCAGGGATATATGCACAGCTTTGAAGTTAAGTATATAAATTTAGTCTGGCACACCAGATGTCATCCAGAGCTATTGAATAATACTTTTTGAAGTCTCTGGAGACTATTCACTGATAATTGTCACTGGACACCGAGGTCGTGTGACAAGTGTTCACCTGTGTGTTCATCGTGTGGCAAGGGAGAGGCTGCAGTCTCAAGCAGCAGCAATGAGGTGGCCCCTCTGGCATACTCATGGTCCTCAGTGGCGACATCTTTTGCTATTGCGTTGTGTCATAGCTTCCCTCTTTCTCTGCGACACCGTGTGCCGGACACAGCTGATGTAGTTTGTCTCAAGTCAGGCAGCAGCTCTGTGCCTGGAATCGTCTATCTCTCATGTGAGTGCTGGTGTTGCCAGAGGGATAAATCTGGGCAACGGGCAAGTGGAGGAGGCAGCAGTCAAGGAGGACAGCTTGTCACCTGGCAGATGAACTTTGTAGCCTATGTGTGCAACTAAGCAAAATTCAGTATTGCTGTCCAGTCTTTGTGTGTGTCCTGGCAGGCTTGAAAACCTACGGGTTATGTACTTGAGTGGCCCTTGTGGATTCAGCTTCTTTAGCTTTACAAGTCCAAAGTGTTCACAAATTCTCTGTCATGGTCACCTTTTCTAAATTCTCTAGCACTGACTGGGAGGTGGGCAGCACCTCTGACTGATCAATCAGCTTGAACATTCCCTTTTTTTAATCACTCCCTAGGAAGCCTCCTTGGCTTTACTTACCAGTTCCTGTTTTACTGGAAGAGTTAAATTGCCAGCTAACAGCAGCTCTTCTAAGTATATCCAGGGTTTCAGTCATGGATAACTTATGCTAACTGCTATTTGTGGCAACCACAGCCTGATAGGCCTACACAGTGCTGCCAAAGAACAGTGACAAGGATCCATGAAGTAAAAGCATAAATTTGAGTCATAACATCCTAAATTATCTTTAGCAAGAGATAGTGGATGAAAGCCTAGAAGTGCTGGTTTTGAAGTTAATGGGAGGCTTTAATTCATCAAAATTCTCCTGAGTTAAATCTTAGGACCTGTCCTTCCAGAATTAAATTTAAGTTGTGAATGTTTGCTGAATTCAACAGACTACTCCCGTGTGTAGCACAACTAATGTCCTTAAGTCTGTCTGGGTTCTTAGTCCAAAGGATGGAGCTGCTGCTGCAGAAGGAATAGGTATCGGAGTATTTATCTTTGAGATATCACAAGAATAAGGTAAACTGGTGCCTCCGGTGAGCTACCTGGGAAATCTTGTTATGCTGATGCCCTGACTGTGAGCTTGGACTGATTGCTTGTTCTGTATTTGTAGGAGTTTTGGAAGAAACTTGGGGAACTGGGAGTACTGGGGATCACAGCTCCTGGTAAGTCTGTTCCCACCTTTTACCTTCTGGTGGGTGATTCTTCAGACAAAAGAGAAACTACTTGAACTCACCTATTCCAGTTTGTAGCAACCTTGTCTGTGATGTGATGTCCATTTTGTTCAGAAGCTCCTAGCTTTATGTTTTTTTAAAACTTTTTGATATTTTTTTTTATTCTTCACTAAATCAGCATCCTTTTTACCTTGTTAGACTTCTGAATGATTATAGAAGGCCTTTTACAATTTAAAAGTGCTGTTCAAAAATGGTGTCTCCAGATATAACATATGCAACTCAAACATGTTTGCGCTTCTCCAATATGAAGCGCTTGCTGCAAGTTTTGAAGAACGAGAGCTATAGATAAAAGTATCCTAGAACAAACATCCATCTCTAATAGGAGAAGTTAGAGGGTATAAAACAATGCTGTGAAAAGCTGTGATAACTAATGGAGAGCTGACCACATCCAACCAGTCAGAAAAAATCAGGGTAAATCTTATTCAGCCTTGTCCAGGTTAGTTGAAAAGTGTTTTGATGAATGTTATAGATTACTGAGGCTGCTGTGGTCATGCTGAATGCACTAACACAGTGTAATGAGGAGAAGCCCTTAGTGGAGAAAAGCAGCCAATGGGGCCTTTATTTCCCCATCGTAAAGTCTGTGTTTCTAGATGTGCGTCTGCAAAGGCTTCTGCAGAAGCAAGCTGAATAGCAATGCGTTGAAATAATGCCGCTGCATTTCTTTCAGTGGCACTGCGTCTGCTTGAAAGAGTCTGTATTTCTGCTTTCTTTCTCTTTACTCTTCCCAATTTACTGCTGCTCCTGTTTTTTCTCACTCTTACCTTCTTTCTTCTTTGATGTTGTGCCTGAGGCTTACAGCAGTTTCCCACACTATAAATAAGCCATCCCCTCATGAGTCCTGTCCTTTTTGATTTCCTCAAAGATTTGCCTCTAAAACCCTCCTATGCCCAGATTTTTTTGCCTTATTTTTGATTGTATAGTTGTGTGCGCTTTCTTTATTGGCATTGGTTTTGTTGTAGGAGGTGGAGACTGGGATTTAGGATGTGAAGATAATGTGAAATCTTCTGAAGGCGTATGCTCAATTAAATGGCATGATTGGGCACCAGTGCATCAAGTCTATTAAGGGAGTGTTTTAAATAAGTGCTTTTTGTTTTCTTCTTAAAACTAAGAAAACTACATTAGTTTGTAATTTTCCAGTTATTTTATAAAGAGCTAAGTTAAGAAATGCAATTATGGAGCTACCACAGAACGATAATACAGGCATGTTGACATAAAGAGTAATTTTGAAAGGGCAGCATCATTCTAAATCACACTGTGGTTTGTATTATATGAGGAGTCGTCTGGCAGGATTATTTTCTTGTACCTCTTGCAGGACAAAACAGTCATGGGCCAGTAGTGCTCACAGCAGGCAGTTACCTTTCCTTTCTCGAGGCAATAGCACCAACCCCATCCATTCTATAGGAAGGAATAGACAACTCTCTTGTTTTGGCATATGTAAGAAATTGTCAAACACATCTTTTAGGATATTGATAGTAAAACCCTAAACCCTGATTTGTGGTAGAGAGAGGCAATTTCAGAGGGTGAAGAGCCCTGCAGATAAGGAGTCAGAATGAATGACACGGGAGGAAAGGCTGTGTGTAATGCCAGTGGCAATTGTGTTAGTTTGATGCGGTAGAGCAGTAGCCCTCCTCGAGCCCTGGTTACACACTCAGCTCTTTGGTCACTCTGAGAGTACAAACACATTCGCTCCTGCTGTTGTTGCTGCTTGCTTACAGCATTCATGTTGATGATGAGTAAGTGCTCCTGGATTAACTCCCTGACTGCTTTGCAGTGTTTATGTCCTCCTGTTTTAGTTCTTCTCTTAGCAGTACAATCATTTGCTTCTTGCCTGTAGAACAAAGCTTTTACACTGGGCTGTGATTGTATTTGTGTGTATATAAGCGTGTGTGTGTGTATATATATGTATATATTTATGTAGGCTGTCAGCTGCTCAAGGCCATTATGCATTTCTTAGCCTTGTCTTTTTTCCTGCCTTCTCTCTCCCGATTCTACTGTGTGCCTTTAATCTTCACCACCAGTTGTCATCTCAGCTCAGTGTGCCTAGCTCAGCTCCCAGTTACAATGATTGTGCTGCTCTCTCTCACTTCATCTTCTCTTGAAATCCATGTTCTCGCCACTGGTGAATTACATTCTCATTCTGAATCATCCACCCATCAAAATGCTGGTCTCCTGGATGTTTGCGGGTTTAGAAAAGTCCTTAGTGCCCCACTTTTTGATCAGTTTGAGGATTCCTCACTTGTTTAGGGGTCCTTGTTTTTAACTAACAAGCATAGACTTCCCAAAGTTGGCCTGTGTTCCTCTGTCCACAGGTTGCCACTTTGTGATTTAATCTTCATGATAACATTAAGGGTGGTTGACAAGAAGGACTCACTATTGTACAAGTGTCAGTAGGATGTTTTAGATGTATCCTTATGCATGTTGTATGTATAAAACTATGCTGTACAAGTAAATTGTTGATTATGCTGAAGAAGCAATATCACTGTGCCTTTAAGGTAAGAAAATTGAAATTCAGAGTGGATGGGGAAAGCCAGAGGTGCCCAGCTCAGGGACAGTTTCAGTCAAAACCAGAAGGTCTCTTCAAGTATCTCAGATCTAATTCATGACTGATCCCGACCTTGGGATCCAGCACACATGTGATATATTCCATGTTGGTTAATGTGAGGTTTCTCTTCTCTTTTCAGTGGAATATGGTGGATCTGCTTTGGGGTATCTGGACCATGTGCTGGTGATGGAGGAAATTTCTCGTGCATCAGCAGCTGTTGGGCTTAGTTATGGTGCCCACTCAAACCTTTGTATCAACCAGCTAGTGCGTAATGGCAATGAAGCCCAGAAAAACAAGTACTTGCCCAAGGTATGTGGCTGGAAGAGGGGGGAAATTGGAAAGCATTTGGGTTTTGGCTGCATGCAAGGATGAGTGTCTTTCACAGTGAGTCTAATTGTAAGCGCTAGCTGATTTCAGTCACCCAGCCTTTAGGAAATATTGTACTTGCCAAACTTGCCTTCTCTAGCTAGTTAATTTTTGTCCTATTAATCCATCATTAAGACCTCAGCGTGTGCTATTGTCCGTGTGCGTAGGCAGCAGCATAGTCCAGCTCCCTGGAGCTGTGTTACTAAATGAGGCTTTGAGGTGACACTGGAGGATATTCTACCAACTTCCCAAATATTGAAAGTCATTGTTTTTCTATTTCCTATTCTCCATTTATCACTGCCCAAATGCTTGGTTTGCCTGTGCTTATTAACTACATGTGAAACTTCCTCATCATGTGGGGCACTGATGTTTGTGACTCATAGAAGCATAGAATGGTTTGGATTGGAAGGGATTTTCACCAACATACATATAGAAGCTTTTCTTCTTGCCCTTGACATCCCTGGCCAGATTTAAGTCTATCAGAGCTTTGGCCTTCCTAACCTGATCCCTGGCTACCTGGACAGTTTCTCTGTATCCCTCCCAGACTCCCTGTCTTTGCTTTCACCCTCTGTAGGCTTCCTTCTTTTGTTTGGGTTTGTCTAGGAGCGCCTTGTTCATCCATGCCGCCTCCTGGCATTCTTACCTGACTTCCTCTTTGCCAGGATGCTGACACACTCCTGAGCTCGGAGGAGGGAATCCTTGAATATTAACCAGCTCTCTTGGGCCCTTCTTCCCTCCAGGAGTTTATCCCATACGACTCTGCCAAGCAGATCCCTGAAGAGCCCAAAGTGCTCTCCTGCAGTTCAGGGTAGCGAGCTTGCTGCGTACCCTCCTCACTGCTCTAAGGACCTTGAACTCCACCATTTCATGGTCACTGCAGCCAAGGCTGCTCTTGAGCTTCACACTCCCCACCAGCCAGTGCAGCACAGCACCTCTCCTTGGCTTCTCCATCACTTGCAGAAGGAAGTTCTCATCAGCACATTCCAGGAACCTCCTGGATTGTTTATGCCCTGCTGGGTTGTCCCTCCAACAGATATCAGGGGGGCTGATGTCCCCCAGGAGGGCCAGGGCTTGTGAACATGAGGCTGCTCCTGTCTGTCTATAGACGGGCTCATCCACCTGCTCCTCCTGGTGGGGTGGCCTGGAGCAGACCCACTATAATGGCTCCTGTCCCTCCACTCCCTTTAATCCCGACCCACCAGCTCTTGGTTGGCTCCTCACCCATCCCCAGGCAGAGCTCGGTGCTCTCCAGCTGGGCACTGACATAGAGGGTGACCCCCTCCTCCTCTCCCCACCCATCCCCCCTAAAGAGCCCGTGTCCTCCCATCCCAGCACTCCAGCCACAGGAGCCATCCCCCCACGGCTCCCTGATGCCCAAGTCCAGAGCCCTGAAGGCGTGCCCATGTCTCCAGCTCCTTCTGGTTATTCCCCACACTACGTTTTCAGTTGGGCCCCGAGGAAACTGACTTACTGGCTGGAATTACTTTGTGCTGCTCCTCAGGTGCTCTCCTGCTGCCCTGGGACCCCTCGCCAGGCTCTGGGCACCTACTGCTGGCACTGGCACTGAACTGGTAGGAGAGGGGTGGATTGAGGTTCCTCAACAACTTTAGTTTAAAGCCAAAAGCATGTTAAACAAGTTTCAGTATTTAAATGCATGGAGAAACTTAACTGGTACATTGAATCCCAGCTACTGAAATTATCAGTACAAGAAACTTGATTTAAACCACATGCAAAGTACAGTGTTGTTTCTTCAAAGCATTGTGCAGCCCGCTGATACGTAACCCTGAATCATCCTTGTTGCTGCTCAGGTGTGTTTTAATGCCCTTGTTCACTGCCCTTCAGTGATATGTGCCATCATTTTAGTTCTTACTTGTCTTGGTTCATGACAGAGCTACTCAACTAGTTTGGAGCAGATCATGAGGAATTTTGTAGAAGTGCACTGATGGATTGAATTGGTTGAACATGTAAAGCATGAGTCGTTTTTTAAAAATATAAGGGATCAAAAGGAGGAGAAGACGGACAAAAGTACACAGGGAGAAAAAAAATGGAAGGAGAAAGGGCAGTATGAAGGGAACAGTGAGGAGGAAGCAACAGCTATGCTAGAGCCTGGTACGAGCAGGCACAGAAGGAGGGTGTCCATCTGCTATTGTGGTGCAAGTGTGGGGGACCGGGCTGTCAGAACATTGCTGAGAACTTTGCAATCTCTTTTCATCCCCCTCACTGGCCTTTTGTGTTTAACAACTCTTGCTTATGTGGAAGGGCAGTCGTAAAGTGCAGAACAAGGAGCTTGTGAAAGGCATATGTCTGCCTGCGTGGTCCTTCTGGCACCTTCCTGGGGGTGGTGGTTTATAAGCAGTCATCTAGCCCAGGCACGAGTTGAGTCATCCTTCTCATCCCACTGTGACTTGGTTCTGTGCCCCCAGCACAGCAGCACAGGACAGCTCCCTGCGAGGACTTGACCAGGAGCAGCGGCTCTTGTTTGCAGTTCTTGCATAGAACAGCTACTGTGGAGATTCAGTGCTGAAAAGAAAAAAAAGTAAAAAGGAAGGTGGGCTGAAGAGGGAATAGAAACAATGCTACTATTCTTGCTCCCTTTCTTATATTTGCTTTTTCTTCCAGCTAATCAGCGGGGAGCACATTGGAGCCTTAGCGATGAGCGAACCCAATGCTGGATCTGATGTTGTGTCCATGAAACTGAAAGCAGATAAGAAAGGTAAAGCCTGTCGTGTGCTGCCTGGATAGATAGCCAGTGTAAATAACATCTCCTGTAAATTTAGACTGACATCCCCAGCCCCAGTGAGATGCAGTGCTTAGCCTTGGGTGTACCAGGCCATGTTTGCAGGCTTGTGCTGCCTCCCAGGAGATTCACTGCGTGATTAATCCAGGTATCAAAGACACAGGGGGGGTGGTTGGAGGTCTAAAAGCAGACTCCCGGTTGTGGTGATGGAGGTTGGTGGTGTGATGGAACCACTCAGTTTGTCAGGCATTCGTTAAACTGTCTTTGGACTCCAGAAACTAAGGAAGGATTTGTGTATTGTTTTGGGGGTCTTAAAGGGCATCCTTGGAAGCCTGTTCTGAAATAAATGGAGTGAGGGTATAGGTGTTGCTCTGTTGTGAGCTAACAGATTGCAGCTCTTTGCTTCCAGGAGACTACTTTGTGCTGAATGGGAACAAATTTTGGATCACCAATGGGCCAGACGCAGATGTTCTCATCGTTTATGCTAAAACTGATGTTAATGCTGTTCCAGCCTCTCGAGGTATAACTGCCTTCATTGTGGAGAGGGTAGGTTTAATCATTCTCACAAGCTTATTGTAGTGTGGTTTTCAAAACTCACATCTTCACTCTAACTGACTCTTTTAGAAGTCAGCTAGTTTTCTTTCTATAGGTGTCAGCCCCTTGCTCAAAGACAAATTACTTTCTGCCTGAATTTTATAAACCCATGAGACAAGTCCTCCGCCCCAGCGAGCTGTCGTGTACTGCACTGGCAGTTGGGCTCTCCTGAATTTTGGTATCCAAGCATGTAACCACTCTTTAGCACTAGCAATGTAGGGAGAATGGACAAGATTCTGATATAAAGGGCCTTGCTCATTGCCAAAAATTGTCAAAGATATTGGAGGCCTTGTAAATACATCTTACTATCTTATTATCTAACTTTGTGTGGGGTTTTTTTAAGCCAAGACATTGCTCTATTCATTTCTTCCCCACATTTTCTTGCACTGCCCCTGTGAAACCCTGAAATGACCCGAACATGCGTGCAAAGCACCACAGACCAAAGGGAGCAGAAATGGGCTGTTCAGCGGGGAGCCCTTGGAAAACAGGGATCTGTTGGGTTTTTTCTTCCCTTTTAATTATTTGAGGCCACACTGTACACATTTCTGTCACCACGAGGAAGACAGGAAGCCATAATAAAATAAATAGCACTGGAAGTATAAAATCTCAAGAAATGAGTAAACCTTTTGATGGACTTAACCTGACAGCTCAGATACTGGCAAAGCTTGCAGCCGTTACTCTAGGAAAGTCAGGGTTGGCAGCTGTCCAAATAAATATATATTTAATGTTTATGTACATGAGAAAATGGATGGGCTCAGCTCATACGTGTCCCCCATGTGTGCATGTTTCTCTGCTCATTTGCTTCCCCTGCACATGAACTCACACCTGTTCTTCTTCTCAGAGTGGGCAGTTCCCTTTGACTCCCTCCGGTACCCTACGTATGTTCCTGTGGTCAGGGAAATTTCGCAGATCTGTAGTGATTTTATTTATTCTGCCAGAATTGAGTTTTGAAATGTGTTTTTACTGTCTTGACCTTGCAGGGAATGCCTGGTTTCAGCACAGCCCAGAAGCTGGATAAGCTGGGAATGAGAGGGTCTAATACCTGTGAACTGATCTTCGAAGACTGTAAGATCCCGGGTGAGTTGGGTTCAAATCATGGCACTATGCACGAGGTGGTTTCCTGTCTTCTTGATCAGATAAATTGGATCGCTAATTACATGCATGTTCAGACTGTGACCCAGAGGGCTTTGCAGATGGTTATCTGCTCTTTGGCAACCGCACAACAGAGCCGGTGAAACTGGAAAAGTGCAGTCTGCTGGATTCCAGGGAAGGAGCACATCACTTGCCAGCTCACTCCTGTTTTACCCTCATGGGCCTAACTCTTAACCACTGTTTCTGCAAAACCTAGGTGAGGCTTCCACAGAAACATTTTTGTTTCATTGGAGCTCCTTGTCTTGTGTATAGGAGAGCTTATTTGCCTTGAAGATTGTTTTTTTTTTTCTCCAAAATCACTGGAGAGTAGCCAATGGAGTTTTGGTTTGCCTGTAACATTTCTGAGTTCTTTTAGGGTCAGGGCCTGAAAATGGACACACTTTTCCCCATTAGTTAGTTCAGCAGGGGCCACTGTAATGACCATTTTTGTTACTCCATTGGCTATTTTTGCTGATAGAAAAATACAGCCTCTCTATAGCAAGTGGAGGATATGCCTTATCTGAACTCATGAAAATCTTAATTGCATATCTGCAGAGCAAGTAACTCTCCTGCTCCCCATACACCACCAAAATCTGCTTTGCAGTAAGTGGAAGAGTTTCAGCTGAAATCTGACATTTCTAACTTTATTGGATCCCTCCGCTCTGAAATCAGAAAGGCCAGTGCCCCAGTCTTCAGATCATCTCCTGGGTAATCATCCGTACAGAACAGCATGTTCTCATGGTAACAGGATTTCCATTTTCGGATAACTCGGAGAAGAACATCACTGCAGTGTTGAAAGTTAACACACTTTGCACTCTGGCCATTAATGCTGCTTCTGATCTTCTGCCTTGGAAGCTGAGCCAGTTTGATGCCATTTCCTATGTCTGCATGATCTCTCTCTCAGATCAAGATGTCCCCTAGCACTGCAATTCCATCCACTGTACAATAACGTGGGTTTCACTGCCAGCCGTGCTCCATGGAGTGACTGGTGTTTTAGTCACAGTAAGTGTTGTCCTTGTATTCATTCAGTCATTTGCATTGGTGAAAGTTCAGAGCCCCAACATTTTCTTGGCTTTCTCCTGTGATATGCAGCCAGCAGGTCTGCTCACCTTGTGCAGTCAGCACACACATCCTTCAGCTCACCACATACCCACCCATCCCTGTCCCTGGACATACAGGAAGGTGTTCAGGCTCTTCAGTCCTTTTTTAGCTGTGAGAAGTCATTACTCACAAACAGCTTTCTTACTTTATTGATGCTGGCATTTGTGTTCTGTTCAAAGTACTTTTTGCTATTAGTAATTTTCTTTCTTGTCTGTGGGGCTTTTGAGCTTTTTCTCTGAAAGCCAAGCTTCATTCTTCTTCCTCTTTCTAGCTCCAGGATCATGATGATGGCCCTGCAGAGGCTGCACTTCTTTGTATGCTACAAAAACATAGAATCACAGTCTGGTTTGGGTGGGAAGGGACCTTAAAGCCCATCCAGTGTGCCCACCCCTGCCCCAGGCAGGGACACCTTCCACTAGCCCAGCTTGCCCGAAGCCCTGTCCAACCTGGCCTTGAACCCTTCCAGGGAGGGGGCAGTCACAGCTTCTCTGGGCAACAGGGACTCACCGTCTTCACAGGGAAGAATTTCTTCCTTAGATCTCATCTAAATCTCCCCTCTGAGAGTTTAAAGGCATTATTCCTTGTCCTAACACCCTTTTCAATAAGCAGGAGACAATGCAGTCCATGAGCTTCTAGAAAACCAGATTATTCCAGGAGGGTATCTGCATGTGTCCAAGTCCTGTCTCCCGTTCACTTTGCATATCACACCTTTGGGATCGCTGGTGATCAAAGCCTGAAGTATATGTCGGTTCTCCTATATGGTGTGATCAGTGGATAATCTCTGTCCATCTACAAAACACAGCTGTTAGGCTTCAAGTTCTCTCCTGATTGTAAGAGTGCAGCCTTGCTGAGATAAGCCTTTTGTTCCTGCTTCTCTTTTTATACTTGCTAACATCAGTGCATGCTTTAGATTGTCCTGCAGTGAAACCATTTCTTGAGGGTTTTTTCCTCAGACCATTACCTAATGTGGCTATTTTCCTGTTTAATTTTCACAGAACTAATACTTGTCTTTTCAAAACGTTTATTTATAACAACTGCAATGTCCTGTTCAGCCCCCCTCACAGAGGGGGGGTTAATGACTGTATTCTCCAGTTGTGGAAGACTAATATATATCGCTCCACTGCGTGGTAAGAGGTGAGCTTTGACTGCTTGCCTGTGTAAGTGTTGGCTCCTGTACTGGGAATGCTTCCAGAGGTGACCCAAGCGTGTCAGAGTGGGATCTGCACTTGTTTCAGATGCAGACTCAGCAGACATCAGGTAGTGCTGCTGTCCCTTTGGGTTACCTACAAAGGACTGGCCTGGTGAAAGGGGCTCCCGCTTTGTCCTCACAGGCTGTTAAATCTCTTGTTCTTGTTAGTACAAATGCTGAGCTGGAAGATCTCTGGACAGCACCCTACTCTTTAGAAAACAGACAAGAGAGTAGCAGCAATTGTAGGTGCACTTTATAACCTTTTACTGCCTTTTCGTTTTTGGCCTTGGTAGAATTGAAGGGACATTTCTGTGGTAGGGAGTGTACGTAGCCAAACTCAGTGCCTGTCTGCCTCATCCTGAGTGTTTGTGTCTCAAGCCAAAAAGAAAGGTGAATGGGACAGAAAGTTTAAATCCTCTCCCCGAAAAACACAGGCCCTCAGAAAACAGCTTACCTTAGTTTTGTGCATAAGTAAATACCTTTCCTTTGCCAATTGCAGCTGAAAATATCTTGGGGACGCTGAGCAAAGGAGTCTACGTTCTGATGAGTGGATTGGATCTGGAGAGACTGGTCCTGTCTGGTGGGCCACTGGGGTAAGGGATTATCATCTTCTACAGCTTGTAAGGCCAGAAGGATCCTTCACCATCACCTGGTCCTGTGGGTCTCCAGGCAGGGTTGCAGCTCTCTCAGTAGGATGTGTCTTGGATGGAGAACTGAGATACTGGGGCAGCTTCTGAGAGGAGAGGCTGGGTCAGGGTTGTGGGAAGGGAGCAAGCTTCAGAGGAGGCAGGAACAAGGAGATCCCAGGTGCTCTTTAGCTTTTTTGTAGCTGCTCTGATGGGCTCCTGCTGCAGGGGACTCGGCTCAGCACTCCCAGGCAGCCACAGCTTGCTCTGCCTGTGCTCCACCTTTCCTTCTACTCTCCTCACCTCTCCACTCCTCATGCAGGTTCTGTTCAGTGTGAAAGCATCTATGTGGAACACCCTCTGAGGGGCAAGAGATAGAAGAAGCAATGCCAGAAAGACAGTTTGCAAATCTCTGCCCTTCCAGAGGCCACAGATCCTCCAGAGCATGCTTTTGAAAACAGTAGCCTTGATGTAAACGTTTCCAGAGATGGTAAATCTGCCTTGGTACCCAGTTGCTGGCTTGTGTATCCCTGCAGTGTGTATTATTCTGGGAATAACCAGCTTATTTGCATTACCAATTCCTTAAAATCTAAAACACTATCCAGACTGTCACACAGAAGGACCACTGGACTGGGTAAAGGGTTTGTTCTTAATTTATTCAGTCCTTAAGCTCCCCACTAATTACTTCTACTATACAGCCCTTTTGTCCTCCCAAGTGGTTTCTCTGTACTAATCCTCATGTGGAAAGACCACCATCCACAAAGCAGAAGGAGGATTTTTCACCCTCCTTGTTCCTGCCTACACTTTTTTTATGGTATTGGTGGTCTCTGGAGATGCAGGGCAGCACAACCTGTCCTGGCTACAGTTGTAAGGAAGCTCTTCAGCTCCTCATCTCCGTCCCCTCAATTAAGAAGGTAAGACCTTACCACAAGATGTCCCAGATGAGCAATATGTAGAGCACCAGGGAGAAAAATGGGACCTTTGTATTTTATTGTTCGTATTGTTTGAGTGGAGCTGTAAGAAGACAGCAGCATATCATTTTGAGTATGAGAACCTTTTTGCCTTAGATTGCGCTTCCAAGGGTTAATTATTATTAATAGTTCTGTTTTCCTGCATATCTGTGCTTTTCCTAGGCTCATGCAAGCTGTTCTTGACCATGCAATTCCATACCTACATGTAAGAGAAGCATTTGGACAGAAAATTGGCCACTTCCAGGTGAGACGGAAAAGGAGCAGGAAATTTTTGTCATTTTGCTTTCATCTTCAAAAATGAGAAGACAAAGAGCTCTGTTGTGGGAGGGCTTTGCACGGAGAAGGTTGCCTGGAGTTTGTGCCGGGGCTGCATGGTATGATCATGTGGTGAGAAGGTTAAAGGGTCTCTGAAACTGTTTACCTGAGACCACCGTTGGTGGGCGAGGGGCTGCGGCTGACATCAGGGCGTTTGTGAACTGACAACCTCCAGCTCCCTCACTTAGGTCTGCCAAATCCATGTCTTCTTGTTTGTCTAGTTTCTCTGAGGTAGTTTGGGGAGTGCGTGATCCCTGGTGCTCATGCAGAAAATCATCTCCCCCTCACTCATTTCGTGTCTCACTTGCCTTCTGCAACATGCAGCTCATGCAGGGCAAGATGGCTGATATGTACACGCGGCTGATGGCGTGTCGGCAGTACGTCTACAACGTGGCAAAGGCATGTGACCAGGGCCATTTCAATGCCAAGGTGAGCTGGCTTCCACCCGGGCTGTGTCTACATCTGCAGGGGGGTTCCTTTCCCTTTGGTCCCACATCGTGAGCAGGGTGGATGTTCTGTACTGGGGGTTAAAATGACTCATGCACAGCCCTAAGCATGTTTTTTTGCTCCTAAAGAAAAAGAAAGCCTTGTTCTACAAGGCAACAGATTTAGCAGCATCCGCAGGTGTTTACTGGAAGCCTGAACACGATATCCTGGCTATTGTAAGGGGCTGTAGCAGTCATTTCAAGGTGGTGGTGTCTCCACAACCAGCACCCATCCACCAAAGGAGGGCACCTAGTGTTTAACAGTCGGAGCACAGAGCCCTGCATCCCAAATCAAATCACACTGCTCTCCTGTGGGTATGATGTGCAGCAGGCTCCCCTGCTGCACTCTGGTTTTTGTTTTTCTGTCTTCACGTGGCCTTTACAGACCTGACGCAGTGTTCTGTAGTGACAGAAAAGCTGCTGCGGCTCCTTGCTCTCTGGAGAATGAATCCTGTGCCTTTGTGATTGAGTAGTTCAGGCTTGTCAGCAGCTGTCTGTAGGGTAATGGAAAGGTTGGAGAAGGGCGGGTGGCCCCTTTCCTGACTGCCCTCTCCTTTAGGACTGCGCAGGAGTGATCCTGTATTCCGCAGAGTGTGCTACCCAGGTGGCTCTGGACGGGATTCAGTGTCTGGGTAAGTCCCTGGCAGCGTTTGTTTCTTTGAGTGATGGCTGGAGAGCCAAGTGTGGCACAGGAGCAGTGCTCTTTCCCATCTCACCCTCAGCCCCTCAAACCAGAGAGAAGAAATGACTTCTGACTTCTTTTTGGTTGCAGGTGGGAACGGTTACATCAATGACTATCCGATGGGGCGTTTCCTGCGCGATGCCAAGCTCTATGAGATAGGGGCAGGCACCAGTGAAGTGCGCAGGCTGATCATTGGCAGGGCCTTTAATGCCACTTTTAAGTAACGTCCACCAGTGAAGAGGCAACACACTCACCACTACCATGAGGCCTTTGACTAGAGAAGCTGAAGTGCACAATTCTTTTTTTTTTCTTCCTGCTTGCGATTCTGGGATTGTCACTTGTGGCCTCTCTCCTGTTCTGCAAACAGATGCTGTTGGACTGGGCTTTGACAAAATGAATCAGATGGTAGTGTGGAAGGAAAAGTGATTTTTTTTTTTTTTTTTCTCTTCTTGTGATTCTCCTGATTCATCCTGTTCATAAACCATCCTGAAGCTCAGCATTACAGGGTGGAGGCTCACCCAGGGGACGTGTCCCTGTCAAACCAGGCTGGTGAGCACTGTGCCTGAAACGAAGGGCAGCCACTGATGAGCACAGAAAGCCAAACCACCCCCCTCAAAAAAAAAGAACGATTTTGTTCTTTTTAAAAAAAACTGTGTGCAATTAAATAGTATTTAGCATATTCCAACTGGCAGGTGAAATTTCTCATTGTGACCTTCCGATAGGATTAATAACTTCCATTTTGGGAAGTCAACGCCAGCAGCACAGTGGGCATGGCTCACATGGACACCCAGGCATCATCGTTGCACAAGCAGTGTTTTAGGTGATGATTCCTAAAACCTCATTTCATACCACATCTGTTTTCTCTGCATACTTCCTTTCCTCTTCCTGCTGCTTCTCAAGATATTTCAGCGCAGCCCCAAGACTCGGCAGCTCTGACTGACGGCCTCCCGCTGGGTTATTCATTCCGAGGTGTCACCATCCATCACTCTGGGAACAGTTAAAACGTCAGACCTGTATTGTGACATCCGTGAATGAAGCGGGCAGGAGGAGGTTGACTTTTTCAGGTTGGGGTTATTTGTTTTTTTTCCGAAGGTTGTTCTTTCGACAAAAGCATGTACTCACACTCCACCTTCGGTTGGCTGGAGAAGTCAGAGCAAGCACAGCGGTGTTTGTGGGTGTTTTCAGTGCGTATTATGTACAGCAAATTGAAGTTTACCTAGCCTTATTAAAGCAAATGGCATGCTATACTGCCAGCCTTAAAGAGTGAATCACAAAGAGAAATTGGATGTTGTAAATATGACAGAACAATTAATTAAACAGTTGCCATGTAGGCAACTTCCCAGAAGTTTAAAAAAAGAGCTTTACGCTTTGTGTATTTTTTCGGTTATAATTTACATCCGTCTCTACTAGGTGACAGTAGACTAATACAGAATTTTAAAATGCCACCGATTCAAGAAAAATTCACTTTCCTGAATTGCCATCTAGGTCACCAAGTGTTTTATATTTATAAGAGTTCTAAAACTTCACTTTATCCAGAGATAGAAAACAGCATCTAAAGTCATGGTGGCAGTGCCTTCTTCCTGAACTTCATGTTTATTCAGCTGCAGTGGATGGCTGTCACTCTGGAAGGGTCCCAGGGTTTTAATTTTCAGCCTTCATCTCTGGATGGAGGTAGCAGAGAGTGGACAGAGATGACTCGTCAAGAGTATCTTTTTGAGCTGCACCTAAAACTGCTTTGGAAATGAGCCTTGACACACAAAGTGCGTTATTTTACATTAATATGAGGGTTTATTTAAGTGACCAGAGACTTGTATTTTATCCCAGAATGACTGCAGATATAATCTTCTGTACGTGCAAGTCACAAACCGCTGCAGTTGCTACACCCCAGAGTGGTGCCCCATGACAGCCTGAGGGCAGGAGTTCCCACGTTTGCCCAGGTGATGTTGGCAGCAGATTGCTGCTTCGATGAGCGAGGGCAGCCCCAAGCCCCAGAGCCCACGTCCCATCCAGTGCCACCGGCTGCCCCTCAGCTTTCTGGCTGCTGGAGCTGGGGCAGGTGTGGGGCAGAGCTCATCTGCTCTCTGCAGTACCTGCAACTTCTGTGTCCCAGTAAAAGGGCAAATCAAACTGGAAAGGTGATGGGAGCACTTGTAGGGGCGGGGAGGAGCATGGGCATGGCGTCTTCAACATGTGTTGGAAACTCATATTTTACCTGTATGTTTTTCAGCATTTTAATACAAGGATGAATCACTGCAATTTTCCTTGAGGGCTTTCCAAAGAACAGAGGAACTGAATCACTGTTATGATCCAGCTCTGGCCAGAGGAGCTTCTCTAATGAGCGTTAGAGCCATGTCAGGATGTTGTGAGATTCAGATCGTTAAAAATAGGTTTTCTGATGCAGAAGGAACCTGCAGATTTTTAAACCTGTCCTCTTTAATGTTGGAGAGGTCTCATTTTTAATACACATAATAAATAATGCCTTCACTTTCTAGGCTGATCAGCACCTTGGAGTTAAAGGTGAAATGAATCAATGTCTAACGCATGACGGGACGGGGCGGAGGGAGAAGTTCATAAATCTTAAGCAGGGTTTTGTTAATCAAACCACCCTCACTTCCCCAACAGCACTGCATGGGACGCCGTGGGAGAGGGACAACTTTCCTTGTGCTGAGCAGGTTTTGCTATGGTGTAAAACAAAGGGCTAGGGAGGGCTCTTCAGGAAAAAAGACGTTTCATTTTTATTTGATGCTAACAAAATCAGCTTTTTCTGGGTGCCCTGTGCCCCTGGGGGTGTTTCCCAGCAGAGGTGGGTGCAGACCCTGTGTGGTACCCACTGAGCTGGCAGCAGCAGCGGGTACAGCGTTGTTTTTCCTCTTTTTTCCCAACCACAGCTTTTCCCCCTAACTCTCATTTTCAAAGAAATACATTTATAGTAATATATCTGGGCTGTGCCGCAGGCCTCCTCTGGAGAGCAGCAGAGCTAATGGGGAAAACATTCAAGGGTGCTGTGCCTCTGGACGTGATTTTAACGGTGTCTGCTCTGAATTTGTAATGGAAATTGGCCTGGTCTGATAAGCCTTTGGCTGATGGCAGGGCAGGATTGGATGTGCTGCACCTTTTCTGGATTTCAAGATACTTGCCCTGTTTGCACCTGGCTGGCTCCTGAGCAGAGAAAGCACGAAGAGCAGAAAGTGTTAGTCGTGAAGGTAAACACAGAGTTTATTTTAGCAGTGTGTGTAAAATGGGGTGATATGGGATGCGGTGGGGTCGTAAGGAAGCGTCTCCCAGCTCCCTGGGAATCCACAGACATCCTCCGGAGTTCGAGGTGCTCTCACAGTTGGTTTGTAGGTGTAAAGCATCTGTCCTGTAGCAGCTGGGTAGGTTTCATGGGTTAGCAGTTGATCGATTTCTTGAAAGAAGAAAAACCACACTGGGTTCCCCTGCTGAAGCTGCTGGCTCCTGGAGCATCCAGCTCGGGTGATTTATTTCTCGCTGGGGTGATCAGAGCTGCTCTGCAGCCTGTTCCCGATGGTTGACCACCTGATGGAAGAACAGTCTAAGCATCATGTCCTGAAGGCAGCAAAGCTCTGGCTCTGTTTGATCTCTTATAGGTGAATTTTGCAGTGGAAGGGATTTCTGCTGAGAAAAGCTCCACTTGGACCCAAGGATGTGCTAATCACAGGATCTCCTCACACAGCTGCTGCAGCACAGCAGGCATGCAAGGCCGAGGCGTTCACAACAGACAGCAGGTTCTTGGCCTATTTTGAGCATGGGAAGGGCAGGAAGGTTTGGGTCACACCCTCCTGCCCAGTGTTCCTGCACGGGTGCTGCAGCTCTACTCCCTTCTAGCTCCTCAGCTGTACAACTGGGCTGTGGTAAATACTGACAGCATTTGCACGAGGAAACTTGTGTCCTTAATCGATGCCCCTTTGCTCTGTGAGACCTCTCTGGGGCTGTTTGCAGGAGAAGCCAGCTTATTGTGGAAAAGCTGGGCTTGTGCTCAGCTGCGATGCTGCTAGAACAGGTACTGAAATGTATTTGATGTAGAAACTCATGTCAAAAGGGAAGTGGAAGATGTAGCGGGGAAGACAGGCTGTAACACCTCTGGTGTCCTGCCTCATGCTCCTCGGGGTGGATAGGACCATGGCTTCCCCAAGCCCTGTCCAAAACTGGAGTTTAAACAGTGACCCATGTTTTTGGGGACACCCACAGTGTCAGGATAGTGTTTGTTTTTTAAACATGCCAAGGATATTTATTTTAAAATATGTCTGCAAGGTAAAAACTGCTGCGGAGAGGTTTGGCTGCAGTGAGACAGCTGGGCTTTATGTCACAGACTATTTGTAAAAGGAGCTATGGCAGTGGTGCGGGGAGGGACTGTGTGTAAAGCAAATCTCATCCCATCTGGGAGGCAGGAGAGGGACCTGTGCTTGAGCAGTGTCCCAGGCAGGGCAGTGGTTGTCCCCACTTCCCAGCAGGGACCTGTGTGGGTTGGTGGTTTCTCCCCCCACCAAACCACCTCCTGAGTCCCACTGGGGCTGCCAGATGGGATTCCCAGGCTGCTGGAGACGCTGCTCGCTCGCAGCAGCTCCCTGCAGAGCCCAGCTCCCCGCCGAGCTCCTGTACCCTGTGTGCTCGTGTCTGCGTTACGTCTGGCAGAGGATGCGGTTTCTCGCCTGTGGGGCTGGTCCCTGAGGGGAAGGGAGGCTTTGGTAACCTGTGGGGAGGACGTTTCCCTCCTGCGCTGGGCTTTTCGGTACAAGGTGACATATAATGAAAGTGTCACTGAGTCTCATTTCCGCTGTACAGAGGAGATGTGCTGAGGCCAAGCCCGGTACTGATGCCCAAGTGTCATGTGGCACGTTGCTGCATCCCTGCTCGCCAGCATCCCTCCCACTCCTCCCTCACGCAGCCCTGTGCCCACCGCTCTTCAAATCTCTGCTCCTTCAGGCTCCTGCTTGCCCCGCAGCCTCCCCAGGGGCTCCTGGCAGAGCTCCCCACAGCTCTGTGGCACCCCCGTGTTTCCCACATGTGAGTGAGCTGGTTTCTTTGCCAGGGCAGGGGTGAGAGCCGGTGTGGCCGCACGCTCTGGCAGCCGCGTGTGCAGGCAGAGAGGGCCCGATCCCTACGTCCTGCCGGCAGTGGCTCGGCTGGGGCCGTTGCAAGCAGCTGCCACGGAGGGAGCGGATCCTTCTGCCCAGCTGTGCTGGGCCACGCTCCCCCTCGCAGCAAGGCACCCGCTCTTCCCGAGCCGTGGCCAGGCAGGAAGATTAGAGAGAGATTTCTTTTTCAATATATAAAAGAATTCACAACTGCGAAGGGGAGACAAAAACATTCTTGAGCCGAGGGGACGATATTGTGCGAGGGAGGCCGGGGGGGGGGCGCGGGGATTACTGCAGCAGAGCCCGGGGTCGCACCGCTTGCACCTGCTGTTTGCTGAAAGGCTGATGCTGAGCAACAAGCAGCTGATGCTGAGGCCCGGTTGTCAGCCTGAATGGGGGGAAAAAAAGCCTCGGATCGGTGCGTTCGCCAAAGGAAATGGCAGGCGTCCCATCCGCTGGGCTGGAGGAGGGAGTGCAGGCAGTGGGGGGAGAGGAGCCGGATCCTCTCCGGCACAGGGAGGGCTGGGCACCCCGGGGGTGTGGGT